GCAATGACACAGAAAGCAGTTCAATGTCGGGGTACAGAGTCGCTCTCTTACCAGGATCGCGGTCCGCTCTGACCAGGGTGAAGCCGGCCGGCTCCACTTCTCTGTCCGGGACTCTGTCATCCAGCCAAGTCTCCCAGCTGTATTGGGATTCCGCTGCCAGCAGCGTTTTCATTATTTAGTCCGTTCGTAGCGGGTATGTACACGATCAACAAGATCAGTCCAAAACCAACCACTGGAAATCCATGGTTGGCAGAATGTTTGTAAACTAAGTCTACAAATTAAAAACATAAAATAACGCCACACTGCAGGTCGCAACAGAGACGCTGCTAGCCGCTATTGTCTTAGTTACGTTCATGGTTACGTCACGTATGACGAAAGCGCGTAAGTGCAAGCCCACAGACACCCATAGAGAACGTATTGAAAGCTTTGAAATTTGAAAAAAATAGATTTTACATGACAGGCTATGAGAGACTTCTGGGCGATTTTCAACTTGACTGAAATCGCCCCAAAAACGGGCGGGGCCATTTGAAGCACGACTTTAGCCTGATTTGACATTTAGTGGCTGGCAGATCAGACGTGAACACTGATAACTACTGTTGCCGTGATATAATTGATTAGAAAAAAAATCCCTTCCTTTTCCCGTTTGGCAGTGCGTCGCCCATATCGCCCTATTGAACAGGCCGTCCCTGGGTCGGGGTAAAGGCATGTTTCTGAAAAGATGGTGACCAATAGCTGTGTTTACTCTGAAACAAGTGAAGGAGAAAAAAGTGAATGTGACATCGCCCTTTCCTGCTTAATGCGCTTGAAATGTCACTCCTGCTGGGACTCCAAATATTTGAACCATGAAGGCACTCATTCTGATTCAACCAACCTGGACTCACGGGTAGACGTATCATAGTAAATGACAATCTGGTACACTAAAAGTAGTATGCCATGTTACGTGCGGTATGGCATGTATTAATTTGTGGATGTCCATAATACATTTCGTATGATATGTTTTACGAATTAGAAATACATATATGTTCTGAATTTCCAATTCGTTGTGGCTGTTAGCTTGGCGGCTATTGCTAACGTTAGCTAGGTTGCTAATGTTAGCTAGGCTAGGGGTTAAGGTTAAGGTTAGGAATTAGGTTAAAAGGGCGTTAGCTAACATGCTAAGAAGTTGCAAAGCAGCATAAAAAATAGTATATAGTTGCAAAGTTGCTAAGATGCTAGTTGTCCGTGATGAGATTCGAACACATTGCTAGACATTCACATTATACGCCTACCCAACCACCTTAAGTAACCATACCAAACGTAACATATACCAATGAGAGTCCTGGATTTTCGTTTACTATGTTGCATCTAGTCTGAGACCAGGCTGATTCAACAAAACACAGAACAGCCTGCCCTGCAAACACGACAGTACATACTGTGATCCTTTGAATTGATTGTTGTGTTTTTCCCCTCTTCGCCCCGATTATCTTTCGTGCTAACAGCAGAAGCTGCATCTCCACTGTGAGTGAGATAATGAAGTTGGTTATCTTCCTTCTATCTCCACTTCTCAGTTCGGAATCATGCTGGAGTGACACAGACACTCTCCCTCTGTCTTTGGGGAACAGGAAGCTGGAACTAACATTCAGATGGTACAATGGCTCAGCTGTGTGGGAAGTGATAGCATAGCAAAATGTAACGTTACAGGCTCACGATTGAGGGAAAACTCGTCTTTGACTTAGCTCCGAGTATATGGGGAAGATCGAGCAGCATTGATAGGGAGATTTCCGAACGCTCTCCAGTCACACATCGATGCCATCTTTAGCGCTACAGTGCTGTAGCCTGTCTGCCTGTTATCTTTACAGTGCTGTATGTGCCATTGTGTCATTTCCTAATGCGGCCTTTGGATTTAAGGGTAAGGAAACCAAAATGCCATTTTGTAATTTGGGTGCACTATCCCTTTAAGGCACCTCTCCTTTCCTGGGTCACGAAGCACTCAGCACTCTGAAAATCTGCAGTTTAAGATTATAAAAATCGACAGTGTTGTAATACAGAATTAGCTGACTGAGGCTTATATCTCTGGTTCTGAGCCAATACTAACTGCCAAACCCAGAATTCTGCCAAATGAATATCTACCTCATTTAAAAACTTAGTGAAGACCATGATTGTCAGGCTCCTTTTATCACTTCCACACAAACACAGCTTTGCAGAGAAGGTAAAAGCATAGGAGCGCCCAGTCCCTGCTGGATGAACGAGCGTAACGGGTGACGTCCGTCCCAGAACAAAACCCTTTCGATACTACCAGAGCTCTGGGTGTCACAAAGCCTTTGCTCTCTCCTCTCCCCTCCTCTTTTTGCTTATTTCGGATGCAATTAAAATATTCTATGAGTAAGTGGGAAAAGCAACATCCATTATGGCCCAATACAGTGACTGCTGAGCGGATTTCAGAGTATAAAAACGGACGGTCACAATACTTGGAGAGGTTAGAATATAGTTCATTACTGAAGCTAGCCTCAGGCGCTGCAATACATCGGAGGAATAGTAGTGTTTAATTAACCCACCTTGGAATATGTTAGCAGTACAGTATTACAAATGAATAGTAGTCAAAAATAAAAGGGTGCGGTTAAATCGAAACTGGGATTTTCTGTAATAGACATTTCTTGCATTTAGATTCCTTTAGCAAATCAAATGTTGTTTACAGAGTGACACCAAAAAGAACAGTTTGTAATAGTGTTCTGTCTTATGCCCTATATCTATAGGTTACACTATGTATTATCAGCATGGTTAAGACTAAGACAGGACTTGGTCGTGGTCGTCTGCTCCAAAACTACCGTGCTTTTTTTTACACGAACATCGTTGACGTCTACATCTTCAGAGGAGTGCATTACCACAATGTTCTGGACTGAGAATAAACATACTTGGTCCAAAATTGATATTCTGTTAAATCATAAAATCATACAATTAAAGAAATAATCATACTATGTGCAACATTAAATACGTAGAAATAAAATTGAATATAAATTAAAGTGATAAATGAAGGCTATATGAAAGAAAAACTCAATGTCCTTCATTACACCAACAAAATCAATTATTCAATTTCCCTGTTACCATAAGACCAGAATCTTTGACATCATTGCTGTCATACAGAGAAATCAACTCATTTTGCCGTCCTAGTCCGGAGTTTTCTCTTGATGATGAGATGGTCACTCTCTCTCTCGTCTGGAACTCCACTGATGATCTGAGACAGAGGTCAACAGTTCAAGAGAATGAATAGGATCTTTGGCACTTACAAATTCCTAACATATCATATGAATTACATCCTTTTTTGCAGGATGTAACATAATGATCCAAATTATTAATTTCAACTCAATGGTTATGACAATGTGTTCATTCAGTAGAGAATTGCAACAGAAAAACAACAGTCCAAAACCCTGTCTCTACCATATATAGTTCAAAAGTTAAGACGATTTACTCCCGAGAATTTAGCATGATCAGAAAGTCATTATGGCCTTGATCAACAAGTGGTGGCTGCTTCATAGAACTCGGTCACTGTTCCGCGGTGCAGAACGGCGCTAACTTCGAATGTCAACTGACAAGCTAGCTAGTGGCTGCAGGTTTGTGTGTGATAGCATGGTCTTTCTCCTAAATGAAATCTGCAGAATACAAAATTAAATTGAGCCTATATACAGGGTACACATTAATTAACTAAGTTGACTGTTTTCGGGGAGGGTAGATATTGAAAATAAATCTGTTCCAGTTTCCATTGTGAATTTCTGAGTCTTCTCCTTTAAAAAATAAAATAAAATAAAAATCGCCATAAAAAACAGCTCCTCTCAAAATTGATTGGTTAGAGGAATATAATGCCACGGATCTGGAGACAAAAATGACAAGGGTGTCAAGTTGATTTTGATTGGTCTAAAAGCGCGGAAACGCCTCCCAACGCCCGAATATGGAAGAGATACTACCGAGAGCGGCGCAGTCTGAACCAGCAACGGTCACAGCAAACTAACGGTCTTATTTCATCAACACGGTCAAGTACAAGTATATTAAGGTTGTAATATTGTTGAGAACAATCGAATGATTAATTGAATGTGATTCATAATGACATAGGGCAAAGAAAACTAGGTTTAGACATGCATTTAGTAGCACCCTCTTGAATTTACCTGTATTTCACTAAAACACTAGAGCAGTGTGAGTGTATGCCCTATTACATATCATACGAAACGGATGACATTGTACACAATTGTGCATCATTTTCGGCGTCCCGTTTTGGCTTGTGACCGCTACTTTTTAAAAAACTGCCCGAATCTATACAAAACCTTTATAAAAACGTATCTTTAAGATTGACCTATATTTACAACTGAAGTTAAAATCAACACGTATGTCTTGCGTGACACCCACCACATTAAAATCTTAAAATGAAATGGCAATCACTATCCACAGAGCAGGGCTGACCAGCATCGGATCTGAACTTCTAGGTTTTGTCTGCATGTAAAAATACCTTGCTAAAATTGGGTACACAACTGACACCACCGATAAACATATCCAAAACAAATACTTTGATCAAGCACTCTGGTGATGAATAACTTTGGAAATGAAAGATCTGCTGTCCCAATGGCTGTGTTATCCGGGGTCTGGAGCAGCCCTAACAATCCCACATATTCCCTGTTTGTAGCAATTGGCTGGGCCAATATATAATCTCATCTGGATGGATGGATGGATACACGTATGGATTTTTACAATACCATCTACAACGATATATGTTGATACAGTGCTAAATAAATGAAAAAGTTATACAAAAAATTGGACTACTTCTCTGTCAGAATGGATAAAGCCCATTAAAAACCACTTATGATGGCTACAAATGAATTCTAATTCTATATTACTCAGAAACATAAAATACCGCTATACCCTCAAAAAATGAGAAAAACATTGTGATATAATGTTGTGGCCATATCGCCCAGCCCTAATCAGACAGACGGGCTGTGAGTTCTCACCGGGTGGGAGGGGAAGTCCATCGGGGACGAGATCTCTGGTCTGTACAGCTTCCTCTTGGACTTCTTGGGTCTGAAGCTCATGGACGCCCCCCCCTCAGTCTCTGGGGATTTCCCGCTCACCAATCCCATTATCTTTTTCGCTGCAGCGAGAAAGAAGTGCGTAAGGGCTTTTAAAAAAGCTCAGAGGCCACTAAAACGTTAAAGCCAGAGCAAGCCATTACTGTGGGCCAGAAACAATATGCCTGGCTGCCGGTCTGTTTCCGTTCTATTGCCAAATCCTTATGGAATTGCCATGCTTGACAATGACAAAGGAGTAGGCAAAAGGACAGGCAGATCTGGGACCGGGCTACAGGCAGATCTGGGACCGGGCTACAGGCAGATCTGGGACCGGGCTACAGGCAGATCTGGGACCGGGCTACAGGCAGATCTGGGACCGGGCTACAGGCAGATCTGGGACCGGGCTACAGGCAGATCTGGGACCGGGCTACAGGCAGATCTGGGACCGGGCTACAGAAAAATGGAGAGAGACTGGACTGAGAGAGACTGTGGCAGGTTATATTGAACTTGACCATTAAGGTGTGATTTGTGCCACTGCAGATGGTACTCTGACTACGGCGTTGTTTCTGGCTCTTTGGTCTGATGATGATGATGATGTCTGTGCTGGGTGCTCTACAGCTGTTCTGTGTGGGATAGACGGTCATGCTGTCAGTGCAGGGTTGCTCCAAGCTGTTGTGCTACTGTTGGTGTCAACTCTTACCCTTGTTCCAAGCTGTTCTGTGCTACTGTTAGTGTCAACTCTTACCCTTGTTCCAAGCTGTTGTGCTACTGTTAGTGTCAACTCTTACCCTTGTTCCAAGCTGTTCTGTGCTACTGTTAGTGTCAACTCTTACCCTTGTTCCAAGCCGTTGTGCTACTGTTGGTGTCAACTCTTACCCTTGTTCCAAGCTGTTCTGTGCTACTGTTAGTGTCAACTCTTACCCTTGTTCCAAGCTGTTGTGCTACTGTTAGTGTCAACTCTTACCCTTGTTCCAAGCTGTTCTGTGCTACTGTTGGTGTCAACTCTTACCCTTGTTCCAAGCTGTTCTGTGCTACTGTTAGTGTCAACTCTTACCCTTGTTCCAAGCTGTTGTGCTACTGTTAGTGTCAACTCTTACCCTTGTTCCAAGCTGTTCTGTGCTACTGTTAGTGTCAACTCTTACCCTTGTTCCAAGCCGTTGTGCTACTGTTGGTGTCAACTCTTACCCTTGTTCCAAGCTGTTCTGTGCTACTGTTAGTGTCAACTCTTACCCTTGTTCCAAGCTGTTGTGCTACTGTTAGTGTCAACTCTTACCCTTGTTCCAAGCTGTTCTGTGCTACTGTTGGTGTCAACTCTTACCCTTGTTCCAAGCTGTTCTGTGCTACTGTTAGTGTCAACTCTTACCCTTGTTCCAAGCTGTTGTGCTACTGTTGGTGTCAACTCTTACCCTTGTTCCAAGCTGTTCTGTGCTACTGTTAGTGTCAACTCTTACCCTTGTTCCAAGCTGTTCTGTGCTACTGTTAGTGTCAACTCTTACCCTTGTTCCAAGCTGTTGTGCTACTGTTAGTGTCAACTCTTACCCTTGTTCCAAGCTGTTCTGTGCTACTGTTAGTGTCAACTCTTACCCTTGTTCCAAGCTGTTGTGCTACTGTTGGTGTCAACTCTTACCCTTGTTCCAAGCTGTTCTGTGCTACTGTTAGTGTCAACTCTTACCCTTGTTCCAAGCTGTTGTGCTACTGTTGGTGTCAACTCTTACCCTTGTTCCAAGCTGTTGTGCTACTGTTGGTGTCAACTCTTACCCTTGTTCCAAGCTGTTGTGCTACTGTTGGTGTCAACTCTTACCCTTGTTCCAAGCTGTTGTGCTACTGTTGGTGTCAACTCTTACCCTTGTTCCAAGCCGTTGCGCTACTGTTGGTGTCAACTCTTACCCTTGTTCCAAGCTGTTCTGTGCTACTGTTGGTGTCAACTCTTACCCTTGTTCCAAGCTGTTGTGCTACTGTTGGTGTCAACTCTTACCCTTGTTCCAAGCTGTTGTGCTACTGTTGGTGTCAACTCTTACCCTTGTTCCAAGCTGTTGTGCTACTGTTGGTGTCAACTCTTACCCTTGTTCCAAGCTGTTCTGTGCTACTGTTAGTGTCAACTCTTACCCTTGTTCCAAGCTGTTGTGCTACTGTTGGTGTCAACTCTTACCCTTGTTCCAAGCTGTTCTGTGCTACTGTTGGTGTCAACTCTTACCCTTGCTACCGAAGAATGTTGGGGAGCTCTGGAGGAAGTCTCCGAACTTCTGCATCGTTCCCTCTTTCCTGCTCCGCAGGCTGGACTGGGAGTCCTGGGGCCTCATGGAGCCCAGGTCTTTACCGTCCATCGACGGAGATGGCTATAGATGGAGGAAAAACCATTATATAATAATAACAATACTATATGTACAGTGAGGGAAAAAAGTATTTGATCCACTGCTGATTTTGTACGTTTGCCCACTGACAAAGAAATGATCAGTCTATAATTTTAATGGTAGGTTTATTTGAACAGTGAGAGACAGAATAACAACAAAATCATCCAGAAAAACGCATGTCAAAAATGTTATAAATTGATTTGCATTTTAATGAGGGAAATAAGTATTTGACCCCCTCTCAATCAGAAAGATTTCTGGCTCCCAGGTGTCTTTTATACAGGTAACGAGCTGAGATTAGGAGCACACTCTTAAAGGGAGTGCTCCTAATCTCAGTTTGTTACCTGTATAAAAGACACCTGTCCACAGAAGCAATCAATCAATCAGATTCCAAACTCTCCACCATGGCCAAGACCAAAGAGCTCTCCAAGGATGTCAGGGACAAGATTTGTAGACCTACACAAGGCTGGAATGGGCTACAAGACCATCGCCAAGCAGCTTGGTGAGAAGGTGACAACAGTTGGTGCGATTACTCGCAAATGGAAGAAACACAAAAGAACTGTCAATCTCCCTCGGCCTGGGGCTCCATGCAAGATCTCACCTCGTGGAGTTGCAATGATCATGAGAACGGTGAGGAATCAGCCCAGAACTCCACGGGAGGATCTTGTCAATGATCTCAAGGCAGCTGGGACCATAGTCACCAAGAAAACAATTGGTAACACACTACGCCGTGAAGGACTGAAATCCTGCAGCGCCCGCAAGGTCCCCCTGCTCAAGAAAGCACATATACAGGGCCATCTGAAGTTTGCCAATGAACATCTGAATGATTCAGAGGAGAACTGGGTGAAAGTGTTGTGGTCAGATGAGACCAAAATCGAGCTCTTTGGCATCAACTCAACTCGCCGTGTTTGGAGGAGGAGGAATGCTGCCCATGACCCCAAGAACACCCTCCCCACCGTCAAACATGGAGGTGGAAACATTATGGTTTGGGGGTGTTTTTCTGCTAAGGGGACAGGACAACTTCACCACATCAAAAGGGACGATGGACGGGGCCATGTACCGTCAAATCTTGGGTGAGAACCTCCTTCCCTCAGCCAGGGCATTGAAAATGGGTCGTGGATGGGTATTCCAGCATGACAATGACCCAAAACAGACGGCCAAGGCAACAAAGGAGTGGCTCAAGAAGAAGCACATTAAGGTCCTGGAGTGGCCTAGCCAGTCTCCAGACCTTCATCCCATAGAAAATCTGTGGAGGGAGCTGAAGGTTTGAGTTGCCAAACGTCAGGCTCGAAACCTTAATGACTTGGAGAAGATCTGCAAAGAGGAGTGGAACAAAATCCCTCCTGAGATGAGTGCAAACCTGGTGGCCAACTACAAGAAACGTCTGACCTCTGTGATTGCCAACAAGGGTTTTGCCACCAAGTACTAAGTCATGTTTTGCAGAGGGGTCAAATACTTATTTCCCTAATTAAAATGCAAATCAATTTATAACATTTTGACATGCGTTTTTCTGGATTTTTGTTGTTGTTATTCTGTCTCTCACTGTTCAAATAAACCTACCATTAAAATTATAGACTGATAATTTCTTTGGTCAGTGGGCAAACGTACAAATTCAGCAGGGGATCAAATACTTTTTTCCCCTCACTGTATGTGTGTGTGTGTATATATATATATATATATATATATATATACACACACACATACACAGAGAAAAGCATGAGGACACCCCTTCAAATTAGTGGATTCGGCTATTTCAGCCACACCCGTTGCTGACAGGTGTATAAAATCGAGCACACAGCCATGCAATCTCCATAGACAAACATTGGCATTAGAATGGCCCATACTGAAGAGCTCAGTGACTTTCAATGTGGCACCATCATAGGATGTCACCTTTCCAACAAGTCAGTTCGTAACATTTCTGCCCTGCTAGAGCTGCCACGGTCAACTGTAAGTGCTGTTATTGTGAAGTGGAAACGTCTAGGAACACCAACGGCTCAGCCGCGAAGTGGTAGGCCACACAAGCTCACAAAACGCAATGCTGAAGCACGTAAAAAATCATCTGTCCTTGGTTGCAACACTGACTAAAGAGTTCCAAACTGCCTCTGGAAGCAACGTCAGCACAACAACTGTTAGTCGGGAGCTGCACACATGGCCGAGCAGCTGCACACAAGCCTAAGATCACAATGTGCAATCTGGCATTCTGGGTTTGGCGGAAGCCAGGAGAACGCTACCTGCCCCAATGCATAGTGCCAACTGTAAAGTTTGGTGGAGGAGGAATAACGGTCTGGGGCTGTTTTTCATGGTTTGTGGTAGGCCCCTTAGTTCCATTGAAGGGAAATCTTAACGCTACAGCATACAATGACATTCTAGACGATTCTGTGCTTCCAACTTTGTGGCAACAGTTTGAGGAAGGTCCTTTCCTGTTTCAGCATGACAATGCCCCCGTGCACAAAGCGTGGTCCATACAGAAATGGTTTGTCGAGATTGGTGTGGAAGAACTTGACTTGCACAGAGCCCTGACTTCAACCCCATCGAACACCTTTGGGATGAATTGGAACGCCGACTGCGAGACAGGCCTAATCGCCCAACATCAGTGCCTGACCTCACTAATGCTCTTGTGGCTGAATGGAAGCAAGTCCCAGCAGCAATGTTCCAACATAAATTGGAAAGCCTTCCCAGAAGAGTGGAGGCTGTTATAGCAGCAAAGGGGGGGACCAACTCCATATTAATGCCCATGATTTTGGACTGAGATGTTGGACGAGCAGGAGTCCACATACATCTACACTACATGACCAAAAGTAATGTCATTTATCAGAGGCTTTTATCCAAAGTAAAATACATTTGATGTATGGGTGGCCCCGAGAGCCAAACCCACAAACTTTGCTTTGCAAGCGCCACCTATGTATCTTTAGCGATGCCACATAGGCAGTGTTTAAAAAAAACGAGAAGTTGCTTTTTAGGGTCAGTCGCTCTTTAAAAAAAAAAGGTGCGTCTCACCTCCTCTTGGTGCACAGCCAGTTTAGGAGTCAGTCTGGTTCTGGTGTTCCTTCGGTTCTCACGGGTCACCTCATCCTGAGAAACACAAGCACATGAGAGAGACAGAGAGAGAGCGAGAGAAATAGAGAGAGAGATGAGACGGCAAACCAGGGAGAGAAATGAAGATGCCATGGTGTGGTTTATATGCTACATACAGTACCGGTCAACAGTTTGGACACACCTACCCATTCAATGGTTTATCTTAATTTTTTACTATTTTCTACATTGTACAATAATAGTGAAGACATCAAAACTATGAAATAACACATATGGAATCATGTAGTAACCAAAACAAAAAAAAGTGTTAAACAAATCAAAATACATTTTATATTTGAGATTCTTCAAATAGCCACCCTTTGCCTTGATGACAGCTTTGCACACTCTTGGCATTCTCTCAACCAGCTTCACCTGGAATGCTTTTCCAACAGTCTTGAAGGAGTTCCCACATACGCTGAGCACTAGATGGCTGCTTTTCCTTCACTCTACGGTCCGACTCATCCCAAACCATCTCAATTGGGTTGAGGTCAGGGGATTGTGGAGGCCAGGTCATCTGATGCAGCACTCCATCACTCTCCTTGGTCAAATAGCCCTTACACATCCTGGAGGTGTGTTGGGTCATTGTCTTGTTGAAAAATAAATTATAGTCCCACTAAGCCCAAACCTGATGGGATGGCGTATCACTGCAGAATGCTGTGGTAGCCATGCTGGTTAAGTGTGCCTTGAATTCTAAATAAATCACAGACAGTGTCACCTGCAAAGCACCCCCACACCATCACACCTCCTCCATGCTTTATGGTGGGAAACACACATGCGGAGATCATCCGTTCACCCACACCGCGTCTCACAACGACACGGCGGTTGGAACCAAAAATCTCCAATTTGGACTCCAGACCAAAGGACACATTTCCACCGGTCTAATGTCCATTGCTCGTGTTTGTTGGCCCAAGCAAGTCTCTTCTTATTGGTGTGCTTTAGTAGTGGATTCTTTGCAGCAATTCGACCATGAAGGCCTGATTCACACAGTCCCCTCTGAACAGTTGATGTTGAGATGTGTCTGTGACTTGAACTCTGAAGCATTTATTTGGGCTGCAATTTCTGAGGCTGGTGACTCTAATGAACTTATCCTCTGCAGCAGAGGTAACTCTGGGTCTTCCATTCCTGTGGAGGTCCTCATGAGAGCCAGTTTCATCATAGCGCTTGATGGTTTTTGCGTCTGCACTTGTAGGAGTTCTTGAAATGTTCCGTATTGACTGACCTTCATGTCTTAAAGTAATGATGGACTGTCGTTTCTCTTTGCTTATTTGAGCTGTTCTTGCCATAATATGGACTTGGTCTTTTACCAAATAGGGCTATCTTCTGTATACCACCCCTACCTTGTCACAACACAAGTGATTGGCTCAAACGCATTAAGGAAATCAATTCCACAAATTAACTTTTAACAAGACACACCTGTTAATTGAAATGCATTCCAGGTGACTACCTCATGAAGCTGGTTGAGAGAATGCCAAGAGTGTGCAAAGCTGTTATCAAGGCGAAGGGTGGCTATTTGAAGAATCTCAAATAGAAAATATATTTTGATTTGTTTAACACTTTTTTGGTAACTACATGATTCCATATGTGTTATTTCATAGTTTTGATGTCTTCACTATTATTCTACAATGTAAAAAAATTGTTTTAAAAAATAAAGAAAAACCCTTGAATGACTAGGTGTTCTAAAAAACGTTTGACCGGTAGTGTACACTCATAAGTATGAGCCAAACAAAGTCAAATTCAAACTATCGTGTAGGCTACAAAAGCATAGGGGGTTTTCCCTGCAATGATCGGGATTAGATAGGAGATATGGATTTAATTTCATCAATGTATAGATTTCAAGAGATCAATTGAATAAATACAATTATGATATGCCAAACGTTTCAAGAGTCCCATGCAATTGCAGGTTAAATAAGTCAGTAGGTTTCCAATTATTGATGTGGATTAACAATGCACGGTTCACAGCTCCAGTGTATGCCATCCCCGACACAAATCTAGTCTGAAATGTTCATAAACTCATGGCAAAAGTAAACCTCATCTAAAGCTAAAATGTCTATTCCAAAATAAAAGCATCTTCAATAAGTTATTGGTGACATCTGTCCAACACCGCATCGGTATTGCTTTTACATAAGATATTAAATCATTGAGCATGTTTCAAACTTAAAACGCCACAATCGCTGGAGTTTGTGTTCCTGCACTTGATAATTTATAGTCTTCAAGAATCAATATTATTTATAGAAATTACCACTGAAAAGCAGGAAATACCCAACGCTGAAACACTTCGGTCATTTCAAATCACGACCATTCCTTCCATATTGGTCTCTCAAAAAGAACTTGCATAGCTTTGCCATTACACCAACCTAAAAACATTACTGACCAAAGTAATACAATGTTGGAGGGAAGACGGTTGATGGAGTAACATGCATGATCACAAACATGCATGAAGATGGGTTAAAAATGTACCCCAAGATGGGTGAAATGGTACGATGGACTGATGTGTACAGACGTGGGTCTGAATGGTTTGATACAGTTTTTATAAAAAAAAAAGGGAGAGGAATACCTGAGATGGGAACTCATGTGTTGATCTCTGTTTAGCCTTAGTGTGCCAGAATTTCTTCTTCAAAAAGAAAAAGAGATTTGTTAGAAGAAACAAATAAAAAACCTCTTCTGAAATAACTAATAAAGACAAAAAGTCGGCTGTGAGGATTAACGACAATTTATAACGTGTTAAAAAGGCAGAGATCAGTTGATGCAAGACTTCCGTCAGATAGCAGCAGTAATAAACTGAGTCCACTACGCCGAGGGTTATACGCATCAACCATGTCAGCATCTTGTGCTTCAGACGCATTCATCTTTAAATACTAAAACCCTTGCCCTGTTTTGTGTTTGTTGTGAACATTATCAAAACATATATATATATATATATTTTTTTTATCGTCAAAAATATTTAGTGGCTGTGTTTTAACGCCTGGATCGCTGAAGGCAGAGAGAAAGCTGTTACGTAAATAAAATGTTTCTTACTAAATAGAGAACATTGTTAAAGATACAGGTAACTGCCAAAATAAAAGGAAACACTTGAGTAAATTATGGATACAAAGTATGTTGAAAGCAGGTGCTGCCACACAGGTGTGGTTCCTGAGTTAATTAAGCAATTAACATCCCATCATGCTTAGGGTCATGTATAAAAAATGCCCAGTTGCCCATTAATTTTGGCTACCATGGCTAAAAGAGATCGCAGTGATTTTGAAAGAGGGGTCACCAGATTTCAACCCAATTGAACACTTATGGGAGATTCTGGAGCGGCGCCTGAGACAGCGTTTTCCACCACCATCAACAAACCACTACAATTATGGAATTTCTCGTGGAAGAATGGTGTCGCATCCCTCCAATAGAGTTCCAGACAATCTGTCAAGGCGCATTGAAGCTGTTCTGGCCCAACTCCCTATTAAAAAGACTCTTTATGTTGGCGTTTCCTTTATTTTGGCAGCTACCTCCATCTGAACTGACTCTCCCTTGTTATTATCATCTCTCTTTACTGTTGCTCGTCCGCCCTCCCGTCCGCCCTCCCTGATTTTATTCCCAGCAATGGGGACTCAGAGACACAGGGAAAATAGTCCCAGACCTTTAGTTAGTTAGTTCCCCTGTTGTTAAGTCCAGGCCATGTCTGAAGGCCTACTCAGTGTCATACCAGACTGGAAAAATGGGACTCAGCATTAAGGCGATAGATTGGGGGTAAGACCCTGCGATAGCCTAGCGTCCTGTCCAGGGTTGGACTTGTACATCAAGCTGCCTCTCGCTACAGAAACAGGAGATAGGCTGCTGCTCCTATGAGCCGTTCTGGCTCCTCTTTTTCTCCCTCCCCCCTCCCCCTCCCTCTCCCCTCCTCGTCCCCCTCCCTCTCTCCATCTCCCTCTCTCACTCTCCTCCTCCCTCCCTCCATCTCCCTCCCTCTCTCTCCCTCCCTCTCTCCCTCCATCTCCCTCTCTCTCTCTCCATCTCCCTCTCTCTCTCTCCCTCTCTCTCCCTCCCTCCATCTCCCTCCCTCCCAGTCAGCAGGGAAGTCATTAGTGAATTACTTTAGTCTCAAACTGCAGAGGTTTAACCCCATAAATACTCCTCCTATATGGAGCCTTCACTCCCTCCTTCATCACTGCAGCAGCAGCAGACCCACACTACATCAACTCATTATATTTCACACAATAACCGTGCTTGGTGTTAGATCACGCCACATGTAATGGGAAACTATTCTTTACTCTCCTAACTGGAAGCACGATCTTTTCATTTGGATGCATAACGTAAGACGGGGCAACAAACTATTAAACGTTGAACCACTTGCTGTGAAGTAGAACCTAATTAACACTTCATAAACGGCTTATCAGAGGCAGTAAAATAAATACATGCTTATTAGTTTCTTAGGCCATTGCAATTAGTTGGGTGACTCCTGTTGCTGTACTGACACTCAAATGACTTCTGTATGCTTGTCAGCCAGTAGTTCTGAAAGTGGCGCTCACAAGCCAAAAGTGGTCCCTAAAGAGTCTCTCTCTCTCAAATGGCGCAGTACAGCTTCCAGAAAAACAGTCTGTGTCAAACTAGGTATTTCGTGGCTAATTTGAGGTAAAACAGTTAAAATTCTGCTCACAGATTCTGCATGTATGAACTACACATTGACACATCCAGCCCAAACACTTAGTAATAAATAAAATAAATTTAGTCATTTAGCAGACGCTCTTATCCAGAGCGACTTACAGGAGCAATTAGGGTTAAGTGCCTTGCTCAAGGGCACATCAACAGATTTTTCACCTAGTCGGCTCGGGGATTAGAACCAGCAACCTTTCGGTTACTGGCACAACGCTCTTAACCACTAAGCTACCTGCCGCCATAACTTCTGGAGCATGTCTTTAAGATGACTGACCGGAGAGAGAGAGAGAGAGAGAGAGAGAGACCACTGCCTGAATGGTAAGATGGACAGGGTCTGCGTCTCAGTTGACTGAGTGTCCCGCCAAACTACAGGCTTGCAGTGGGCAGGAGGACCACACAGTTGTATCCTGGACTGAACCTACAGTACATCCAATCCCTCACTGCAAGTTACAGGGATAGTTCACCCAAATGACATTGGTTTCCTTAACCCTGTACGCAGTACATGGACAGGGTGTGACACCCTCCCATGCTTTGGTTTAGTTTCCCTGGCACGGTTTCCAAACGTTTTGTTTTTGTTGCATTTGTAGCACAAAATCCCATTCAAGTCATGGGAGCGATATCATTTTTTGCACATCAATGTTCAAATCCAAAACAGCTCTTACTGGGTAAGGAAACTAAAAAAAATGTAATTTGGGTGAACTGTCCCTTTAACACCGTCTACCTTGTCAATCTCAGCGCTCTTCCTCTTGCGTGTGATTTTGACGTTGACCACGCCCTCTCCCTGGCGTTTCAGGGCCATCCTGTTGGGCTGCAGCGGGCTGAAGGAGATCTCGAGCTCAGGCTTGGGGAAGCGGCTGGTCCTTCCTCCCTCCGTGGAGATCTCTGAGGAGTCTAGCACCGATGGGTAGTCCCCAGACCCCTACAGACAGTGAGGGTGAGTTAACCGACAGGAGTGCCTAGTCAGTCGGAACCATGCAGCATGGTCTTCTGACAGATGGTGTCATTCTAAAAGCGACACACGTTGCCAGGAGCCATCTGTCCTACAAATCATGTAACTCATCTTAAAATAATCTATTTTTCTTAATCGGCGTGAAAATAGATCTTGAATCACTGCGCTCTCCCATGACTACCGTAGCTATGGATCTAGTGATGGGCATGCCGAGTCTTTTTGGTGAGCCGGATCATTTGGCCTCGTTCACCTAAAAGAGACGTTCATTTGACTCCCAAACAGCTCTTTGTTCAGTAGTGCTTAAAATTGACCGACCATGAGAAATAGCAAAAAAAAACACTTCAAAACTGAGCGTGGACCAGAATGAGGCTAACATCTTCTGAGAATGTTTTTTAGAACTGAAAATCATTACTCGGAGTGTCTCCTGGCGCGCGGCAGGATACCATATCGGATTGATTCAATAGCTCACATAACCGTGGTGCTGTCCGATGTAATGTCCATGCAGATGATTACCCCGGACGCCTGACCCTGGGTAACAGCAGTGACTCCCAACAAAATCACAAGGCAGACATGTTGCGATTCGAAACAAAGGTTTGCAGGCAAAACCTTTGCAGTTTTAGTGAAGGTTGTTTGACGCAAACTATAATAATAATAATAATAATATGCCATTTAGCAGACGCTTTTATCCAAAGCGACTTACAGTCATGCGTGCATACATTTTTTTTTGTGTATGGGTGGTCCCGGGGATCGAACCCACTACCTTGGCGTTACAAGCGCCGTGCTCTACCAGCTGAGCTACAGAGGACCACCAAACTAGTCACTAGCAAAAATGCACTCCTTAAAAATAACCTCAGTGGTCTTCATCTTGATAGCTACTATTTTGTGTCTGGGGGGGGGGGGGCAACAGGCAGGTAAGGCAGTGACATAGTTCCTCTATGCCAAACTGACGTCCTGTTACATACCGTCGTGTTAAGGAGGAAACATTGGAACATCGTGGGAGGAAACCCGGATGTCTAGAGAGAGATTACCTGACTGCTCCTCTTCTCAGTCTTGACTCCATGTCCTAGTTGACGGTTGTCATGGAGAGTTCGCTCATTGACTTTGGGAGGGCAGTCCTCTGCTTTAGTCTGAGAGAGAGAGAGAGAGAGAGAGACGTCATGGACAACATCCATTGTATCAACAAGACCAACTTACAATAATATGGATGGGAGATTGAATAAAGTTACGTTTTTAATATTTTTTTGATCACTGTTGAGAGCTCGCAAGTAAGCGTTTCACTATACCGTTTACACCCTGTGCACGTGACCAATAAACTTTTATTTGTTATAAAAGGAGACTCTCTCTCTCTCTCTCACCAGAGTGGCGGTCTCTCTGCGCTTAGTGGGAGGCGGGGCTGAGACATCGCTGCTGGCTTTGGATGCAGCTTTCAGTTGTTCCTTCAGGTTAAGGATCTCAGCGTCTCTCTCAGACAGGAGACCCTGCAGCTGCTCTACCTCGACCTGGCCACTCTGGGGGGAGGAACAACCAACACAACCAACCATTAGGAAATAATGGACCAATAACGCCATCCGCTTCTTTATTTCACCTTTAAATTTAACTAGGCAAGTCAGTTAAGAACAAATTCTTATTTACAATGACGGCCAAACCCTCCCCTAACCCGGCCAAACCCTCCCCTAACCCGGCCAAACCCTCCCCTAACCCGGCCAAACCCTCCCCTAACCCGGCCAAACCCTCCCCTAACCCGGCCGACGCTGGGTCCCAATGGGACTCCCGATTACGGCCGGTTGTGACAAAGCCTGGGAACGAACCAGGGTCTGTAGTGACACCTCTAGCACTGCCTTAGACTGCTGCGCCACCAGGGAGGCTCATCCATCCTCATGCTGTTACAAAACGGAATGGAAAGTGAACCGTGCCCCATATTGAGTTGGAATCAGTTCCATTTCAAAATGATTGCTAATAATAATAATAATAAACCTAACAATACATTTTGTAGAGTGCATTTCCCACACGCAATGCTTTCAAACAGTGCAAACTCCAAATCACTTCTTCTGTATGCCGAGTTTCAAATGTAAATGACCAACAACCCTGCACCCAACTTTAATAGCTCTCATTGGTACAATCCCAAATGAGAATATTCTCTGACAGTCCCAACCAACCTAACAAGACGTCATCGTGTGTGCTGTAACTGACCTCTGCTGGCTGAGAGGTGGCATTGCAGCGGAGACTGGCTATCTGTTCATCCTTGTCGGCGATGCTGGAGAGGAGTTTGGTTAGCTGGACCTCCAGAGCTGCCACCAGGGAGTCCCTCTCCTCCCTCCACTTCAGCAGGTCCCGCTCCTTCTCACCGAGCTGGGCCGACAGGGCTTCCTACAGGGTCACAGACAGACAGAGGGCTTTCTTAATAGGCTCTAACCCTTCTCACCGAGCTGGGCCGACAGGGCTTCCTACAGGGTCACAGACAGACAGAGGGCTTTCTTAATAGGCTCCGTCTGTAGGGTTTTGCAGCTGTACTCCACAGGGCAGTGGTTTTCAAACCACTCCTCGGGGACACCTAGACGTTTCACAATTCTGTTGTAGCCCACTTGATTCACCCATTTAAGAGCATGATGATTAGTTGACAAGTTGAATCAGGTGCGAATGTGATAGCTGTAGAAAGGTTCAAATACATGGAACGGCTGGGGGTCCCAGAGGAGAGGTATGAATACCCCTTGTTCTAGGGGTCATTTCTACAGGAAGTTCTATTACCACTTGGGTTTGCTGTTTGGCGTGTCGCTCACGGCCGTCTGCGAACTTCCTCATCTCCTGGTTCCTCTTGTCCTCGGCCTCCTTGGCCAGGCGGATCAGAACCATCTTCTCTTCAAGCCACTTCCTCCTGTCATCCTGGTGCTTCTCAGTACACAGCTAGAAACACACACACACACACACACACACACACACACACACACTAGAGCTGGGTCCATACCACAATAAAGTGACATTATCACAATGATGAATAGAATGATAGGTTTATAACATTAACGTGTCGCTCAATTACTTTTTAATATGACCCTTAAAACTCCTACTTCTAATTTGAATGTTGTAGCTTAGCAACTGTCCCGTTAGCAACGACCCATATTAGTAGACTTATTTCATGTCAAACGTCACATTTCTGTAGGCGATAGACTATTGTAATTATCGATATCGGTAAAAAGTCCTCGATAAGTGGTCTGTTCAGTCGTCATGATCATTTTTGGTTTATCGTTACTTCGGTAAAAGCAGTTACAAAACAGGGATTAATCCAATGTAAAAAGAAGAGGAGAAAATATGCATTATCAACTAGATATTTTAGACATCCACCTTCAAGGTCACTTGAGCCTGAACTGCTTCCTGTTTGGCTAATTTGGCTTCGTCCAATTGGCCGTCTTCCAGGGCTGCAGTGTCTTTTCTACTGTCCTGGTAGCGCAACAGTCCTTTCACTTTCTCCACCTCTGAAATGGCAAAAAACAACAAAACACTTGAGTACTGTCACCAAATAAAGAGTTGTAATCGGGGCGGCAGGTAGCTTAGTGGTTAAGAGCGTTGTGCCAGTAACCGAAAGGTCGCTGGTTCTAATCCCCGAGCCGACTAGGTGAAAAATCTGTTGATGTGCCCTTGAGCAAGGTACTTAACCCTAATTGCTCCTGTAAGTCGCTCTGGATAAGAGCGTCTGCTAAATGACTAAAATGTAAATGTAATCTGAATGGAAAACTACATCTTCCCAGTCATTTTTAGGGGTTCACAGCCAGTCATTATTCTTAGATTTGTTTTCTTCCTAATTTGGCACAAAGAAACTAGAGGCCATGAGTAACCTGGTCAAAAATAATGGCACCTTTTGGCCTATAGGTGGTGCTGTTATAAGCAGTCTAACTTAAAACCCTAATATCCGCCGCCCCGTTTGACCTAGAGACTTGAAATTGTGTTTGTTGGCGTTGGCCCCCAGGACGCATCAGGATAGATTTTCCTCAATCTTGGACATTTTGGAAAACCTTCCAAATAACACCAAGGGATTGGTTAAGAGATGGCTGTTATTGATAAATCAGGATAAGAGATGGCTGAGTTATTGATAAATCAGGAAATCTGATTTTACGCGTCCATTTAAATACTTTGTACCACTCCACAATGGCCTATGAATCTTTAGGGTCATCAAATACATTAACACTATGAACCATGTTAAGGTTGCCATTGATATCTTTAAATAAGGAAAATCTTAACAATTCACTTATTTGACTATGTAACGCTAACGGTAAAAATAAATCATAAAAAAATATTCTCATGGACTAAAAGTTAAATTCAATCCTAATAATACTCCCTAAAGAGTTTGAAAGAATAACGTTGATGCATTCAAAGACTGCCACACTTTACAAGTAGATGAATATTAGCTAATATGCTAAAATATACTAAAAATACTTTAAATCTTCACTCCAAATTTGGAATGTAGGCCCATGGTACACAGAAATGCAAAGGGATTGGTCAAAAGATGGCGGAGTTATTGACGAATAAAAAAAAGATTGTGTGTCCATTTAAAAGCACTAAATCCACTCCAGAGTGGCCTATCAATTTGAAACGTGCCATCGCTATCACAAACGTCGCTAAAATGAACTACACTGAATTTGGTATTGATCTAAAAAAAAAAACAAGGAAACTATTAACAACTCATTCTTTGCATATGTATTGCTAGTTCTCAAAGTCATCTACAATCATCTTCTCATCATGAACAATACTTCCGATTCAACCCAGATTTTGTATTTACACTCATTACATTAGTTTTTAATATGGTAATAATTTCACTGAATGCACATAAAGGAAGATAATTCCTACATGATAGAGCGCTTGCTTTGTTATCCACCTGATCTTGTGTTCTTTCAGTCATCCTGTGAACCCCGTTCATTGCTGCTTGTGTTCACAGCTACATTTTAAAATATTTTGTTATTATTCATTTTTAATATATATATATTTTTTTGTTACGTGTATTGCCACGTGTTTAATAGCACTTTAAATAAATTGTGATTTGATAATCCCACCTTCTACGAGGGCGTCAATCTCTTCCAGTTTAGCCTCCAGCACCTGCTCCTGTTGGGTCTGGGTATCCTCCTGCTCCGTCAGAGCCAGACGCATGTCCTCAATCAAACGCTCCTTAGCCTGAAGGTCTGGGGAAGCACAATGAACCCCCATGAATACAGGACAGACACACACTATGCCCGTGTCCCAATACAGGGACTACCGTGTGTACTGTCAACACTACGGCCGTGTCCCAATACCGGGACTACCGTGTGTACCGTCAACACTATGGCCGTGTCCCAATACCGGGACTACCGTGTGTACCGTCAACACTATGGCCGTGTCCCAATACCCATTTTTCAAACACAGCCTACGTATGGAAGACAGACATACAGAGTAGAACAGTATGGAGCAACAGGGCTAGGTACCTTTGCAGGCGTTCTGATAGAGCTGTAGGTTCTCGTCAGACTTCGAGTCAGCGGACTGTTCCTGTATAGAGAAAGGAGGTGGATCAAGCTCCGGTCAACAACAAGGGCATATTTCTCTTTGTTAGAGTGAAAATAACCCCAGAGAGTAAACACACAGTTTTCAGTTGGTTTATGGTCCGGTCTTTATTAACCAAGTCAGCCTGCTGCTGTTTCTTCACTTTCTCCAAGTCCTGCAGTTTCAGTTTGAGAGATTTCTCCTCTTCTCGCTTGGAGATGATCTTGGGTAGGGGAAACAAAAAGGTTGTTATTAATAGTGATTAATATGTTATTAATAGTGATTGTGTGTGGCAGTATTCACCTACACTAAAAAAATGGCCAAAAGTATGTGGACACCCCTTCAAGTTAGTGGGTTTGGCTATTTCAGCCACACCCGTTGTTGACAGATGTATAAAATCGAGCACACAGCCATGCAATCTCCACAGACAAACATTGGCAGTAGAATGGCCTTACTGAAGAGCTCAGTGACTTTCAACGTGGCACCGTCATAGGATGCCACCTTTCCAACAAGTCAGTTCGTAACATTTCTGCCCTGCTAGAGCTGCCCCGGTCAACTGTAAGTGCTGTTATTGTGAAGTGGAAACGTCTAGGAGCAACAACGGCTCAGCCGCGAAGTGGTAGGCCACACAAGCTCACAGAACGGGACCGCCGAGTGTTGAAGCTCGCAGTGCGTAAAAATGGTTTATCCTCGGTTGCAACACTCACTACGGAGTTCCAAATTGCCTCTGGAAGCAACGTCAGCACAATAACTGTTCGTCGGGAGCTTCATGAAATGGGTTTCCATGGCCGAGCAGCCGCACACAAGCCTAAGATCACCATGCGCAATGACAAGGATCGGCTGGAGTGGTGTAAAGCTCACCGCCATTGGACTCTGGAGCAGTGGAAACGCGTTCTCTGGAGTGATGAATCACGCTTCTCCATCTGGAGGTCCAACCGACAAATCTGGGTTTGGCGGATGCCAGGAGAACGCTACGTGCCCCAATGCATAGTGCCAACTGTAAAGTTTGGTGGAGGAGGAATAATGGTCTGCGGCTGTTTTTCATGGTTTGTGGTAGGCCCCTTAGTTCTAGTGAAGGGAAATCTTAATGCTACAGCATGCAATGACATTCTAGACGATTCTGTGCTTCCAACTTTGTGACAACAGTTTGTGGAAGGTCCTTTCCTGTTTCAGCATGACAATGCCCCCGTGCACAAAGCGAGGTCCATACAGAAATGGTTTGTCGAGATTGGTGTGGAAGAACTTGACTGGCACAGAGCCCTGACCTCAACCCCATCGAACACCTTTGGAATAAATTGGAACGCCGACTGCGAGCCAGGCCTAAACGCCCAACATCAGTGCCCGACCTCACTAATGCTCTTGTGGCTGTTATAGTCCCCGCAGCAATGTTCCAACATCTAGTGGAAAGCCTTCCCAGAAGAGTGGAGGCTGTTATAGCAGCAAAGGGGGAACCAACTCCATATTAGTGTCAATGATTTTGGAATGAGATGTTGGACGAGCAGGTGTCCACATACTTTTGAATAAAGATATCTTATCAGCCTTTACCTCGGTTTGAACTTGCTGTATCTGTTTTTTAGAGTCGGACAGCTTCTCTCTGAGATCAGAGTTGTCATCACCTTTTCTCTCAAGGTCCTGGCTCAAACTCCTCACTTTGTCTGAGTCAAGTTTAGCCATCTCCTTCAATCTGTGGTCACAAACACATGAGATGAACTCAAACACCACTATAAATTAGAGAGAGGTTTACCGGTAAGGAGGAGCAGGGAAAATAAAGAAATATCTAGGCCCAATCCCAAATTATCCCCTAAACCCTACGCCCTTGTGGAGATTTACATTTAAGTCATTTAGCAGACGCTCTTATCCAGAGCGACTTACAGTTAGTGTATACATATATTTTTATTTATTTTTATTTTTATTTTATACTGGCCCCCCGTGGGGAGATCTGAGAGGACAGGTGTAATCAATCTTGTAATAGCTACAACTTGCCCTCTGACAGGCTAGCTGGAACTTTCACCATACTGCCTAAACCAATCAAATCCTCTCAGATCTCCACACGTGCATAGGGTTTAGGGGATCATTTGGGATTGGCCCAGAGTGAACGGTGCAAGCCAGCCCACTAACCTGGTGATGTCCTGGGATCTCTTCTCCAGCTCAGCGTCCTTCTGAGCGATGGCCTCTTCAGCAACGGCCAGCAGCTCCCTCCTCCTCTCCACCTCCCTCCTGCGAGCCTCCTGCACCGCAGCGGTCTCCTCATCCTCCCGAACCTCCTGCGCCTCCCTCAGGCTCTTCTGCAGGCCCGACACCTGCGCCTCCTTCTCGAACAGCTTTTTCTCCAACTCTGCCTCCCTCTCCGTTTGGCGGGTGCGCTCCTTTTCTTCAAGATCGGCCATCCTTCCCTTCAAGGTTGTGACCTCAGCCTCCAGATCAGAGTTTAGTTTCCTCAGTCCCTCGGCAGTCTCACTCTCAGCTACAGAGTTCTCGCTGTCGATGTGGGCGTCGGCTTTAGCCTCCTCCATTTCCACCCTGAGCCGCTCCAACGTCAGCTCCTGTTGGGCCAGTTTCTCTTTCAGCTCCTGCTCTGAGATCTGCCGTTGGGCCAGTTTCTCTTTCAGCTCCTGCTCTGAGATCTGCTGTTGGGCCAGTTTCTCTTTCAGCTCCAACTCCTGTTCTGAGATCTGCTGTTGGGCCAGTTTCTCTTTCAGCTCCACCAACTCCTGTTCTGAGATCTGCTGTTGGGCCAGTTTCTCTTTCAGCTCCTGTTCTGAGATCTGCTGTTGGGCCAGTTTCTCCTTCAGGTCCTGTTCTGAGATCTGCTGTTGGGCCAGTTTCTCCTTCAGCTCCTGTTCTGAGATCTGCTGTTGGGCCAGTTTCTCTTTCAGCTCCTGTTCTGATATCTGCTGTTGGGCCAGTTTCTCTTTCAGCTCCTGTTCTGAGATCTGCTGTTGGGCCAGTTTCTCTTTCAGCTCCTGTTCTGAGATCTGCTGTTGGGCCAGTTTCTCTTTCAGCAGGAGCCTCTCCTCTAGGGCCTCTGAGCATTCTCTCTTCAGTTCCGCCATCTTGTCTCGGAGAAGCCCGCTGTTCCTTTGTACTCCCGACGTAGCCTGAGAGGCCACCACTTCCTGCCTTAGGCGTGTCACTTCCTGTGTCAGGGAGTCAATCAGGGCAGTTCTCTCTCTGACCTCGTGGTCACGCGTGGCCAGTCGGTCTGCTCTGGCTGTCTGCAGCCTGACCTCCCTCTCCATGGCCTGCAGCTTCCCAGTTAGATCCTGGGATTCCCTTCGGAGTGTGCTCATCTCCCGCTGCCAGTCTTCCTGGAGCAGCCTGGCATTCTCCCTCCTCACCTCCTCCTCCACGGACGGGGCCTCCTCGCGGGCACCCGTCTGCCCCTCCAGCTCAGCTTCCAGGTCACGTGCCTCCATACGGGAGCTATTATCCGCCAGCCCTTCGAGCCGCTCTTGCACTTTCCAGTCGCCCTCACCGTGTGCCACCAGGTCAAGCTGCAGAGTCTCTACTAGCCCCGCCACGTCGGAGGATTTCTCCTCCAGCTCCCAGCGCAATCTGTCCATTTTCTCCTCCTCTCCACTACACTCCTCAAGGAATCCTAACACAAAGACAAGCACATCTGATGAGTCATAGTATATTAGAATAGGATCATCTTCTGGAGGTATGGTGGGATGTTTGTTTAGGTCAACTGGACGCTTAACAGTGTCGTAACTGATGAATCTGGTGTTATGTCCTTAAGCATTAGCCAGTGGAATAGGCTTAGTACTATTGGTTTGCTAAATATCAAAAACAACCGGACACATTGCAATTTAGGTCAGCAAATGATATTGAAAAAATAACCATGTCCAGGTGAATATAGCGAGTATGGTTTAGTGAAGACCAGTTTCCCAGAACATGACGTGGTGTCTCTAATGTAGTGACACCTCACATCATTCCACAGCTGTACAATGTTTGGAAAATATCAGAGTACAGCGATCCAACAAAACAACTTTATTATTGTTCAAAATCATATGGAATACAACAACCACTTTTTAAAAAAAACTAACCCAGAAATGGGGAACACAAACATTTATACATGTGGAAAAGTGCACAAGTCTGAGGCAGCATTACTTCTTGAGCGCAGTCGACCTTTTTAAGCGGATGTTTTTGCGACCTTTGTCAGTATTCTCTCTCCCCACTGCTCTCACACCTACAAACGGTGGGAGGGGCTTCCCAGCAGTGCTCGGAGCCCACCCCGTACCTTTCTTGCTGGGGGGTTGTTCCTCCAGGTCCTGATGGAGGTCCACCAGCCGTTTGCGGCTATCTCTGCGAGAGATGGGCTCTCCCCCTCTGGAGCAAGTGCAGCTGCTCTTCAGACGCAGGATCTCATCCTTGATGCCGTCGAATGTGGTCTTCTGTCAAGGAAAACCCCAACAATGGTGTTAAAAACAGCATGGCCTACTCAAGTTGGAATTTTTAAAAAAAATAATTGGAGCATTTATAATGTGACATTAATGGGAAATTGGCACCAGTCACGTATAATGGGAGCGGTAATGTCAAATACGGAGTATGACAGGGGTACTCAAAGTGGAGTTGACGAGGTACTGCAGGGCGTCCACGGTCAAGAGTTCAAAATATATATTTTTCGTTTGTTTATGAACACTACTAACACATTAAACACATCCGTGGAATAAGTTAAGAGGGTGTAATACAATATCATATTATTCATTTATGTTCTTAACCCTGAGCAACGCAGGCCTGGGCAGCTCACAGGGATATTGGCATGCTTTAAAAACAGCAAAGTTCTCTCTGCCCCATGACAAAATGTGTCGAATTGCAAAATTCTCTCAAAATGCCATGAGATGGGCCTTTAAAAATGTTCCTTCCAAAGGTCTGAGACTTTGTTGGTCCAGACATGCACTGCCAAAGTCATTGCAGAACTCATACGCAATTATGTTCTGATTATGGAGGGGGTCCCTGATTAATTTGCTATCGCAAAAGGGGTCCCCAGCCCCAAAACATTTGAGTACCCCCTGAAGGCTGATGACCATTAGCTAGTCAGGTCTAATCAAAAGTGGCATTTAAAAATGTAATTACATCCTTGACAGTGGCTTTGACCTGCTGGTCCACGGTGTTCTGAAGCTTGGAGATAATCTCATCCTTCTCACGACACATCTCAAGGAGGTGGGAGAACTTCAGCTCCTGAGACTCGAGAGTCTACAAGAGAAAACAGAAAAGGTCTGTTACAACTAATCTCAGTTAACACAGAACTGTCCACCAGAGATTTGTTAGAACAGACAACCAAAACCAGAGATTTGTTAGAAGAGACAACCAAAATAAATACCCCCCCCCCCACCCCCCCAAAAAAAGTACCTGTCTTGCCTCTTCAAACTGTTCGGTTGATTGCGGCGCTCGTCTGCAATAATTTTCCAGTTCTGAAATCAAACGGAAGACAATGACTAGTCAACCAGAAGGAAACCTAGGGTGTTCCATCACAGCCAATGGAATCAGGCAAACCGGTCTGGACCAGTCGTTGACGGATGGTGAAAACTGGTGATTAACAGGTTATTGCTGACGTTATTGCTGACAGGTTATTGCTGAGTTCTACTGTGGGTGTATGTGAAGGTAATAGGCTCCACTAGTGCTTCATAATCCTGGTCCTGGGGACCCAAAGGGGTGCACATTTTGGTTTTTGCCTTAACATTACACACCCGATTCAAATCAACTCATCATCAAGCCTTTGCTTAGCGGAATCTATTGTGTAGTGCTAGAAACAAAAATACTCACCCCATTAAGAAACACTGGGGTATAAAAAAAAATTAAAGTAATGAGGCAACTAGTTGTCAGTTAGTTACCGTTGGTTTTGACAGAGAGCTGCTCATTGGCTTGGCTCAACTGCTCTGAGAGATCAGCCGCTCCCTTCTCCTGGTTGGAGATGGTGTCACTACCGGGGTGGGTGACCACCAGACACGTCTTGGCCTCCTCAGCCGCCTTCTTTATGCCTGCCAGGTCACTGCACATGGAGTCAAACATCCCTCCCAACGACGAGCTGTCCTTCTACACCGAGACAAGACACGTTTTAGTCATTTAAGCAGACGCTCTTATCCAGAGCAACTTACAGTTTAGTGCATTCATCTTAAGGTAGCTAGGTGGGACAACCACATATCACAGTAAGTACATTATTCCTCGTTAAGTAGTTATCAACAACGTCAGTGCCAGTAAGAAAAAGGACAAGACAGTGTTAGTGAAAACAAGGGTGTTAGCGTTTTGTTTTTTTAACACCAAGGTAAAGGAAGATGGAGGTTGACACTGCTAGACGGTCAACACCAAGGTAAAGGAAGATGGAGGTTGACACTGCTAGACGGTCAACACCAAGGTAAAGGAAGAGATGGAGGTTGACACTGCTAGACGGCCAACACCAAGGTAAAGGAAGATGGAGGTTGACACTGCTAGACGGTCAACACCAAGGTAAAGGAAGAGATGGAGGTTGACACTGCTAACGCCAAGGTAAAGGAAGAGATGGAGGTTGACACTGCTAGACGGTCAACACCAAGGTAAAGGAAGAGATGGAGGTTGACACTGCTAGACGGTCAACACCAAGGTAAAGGAAGAGATGGAGGTTGACACTGCTAGACGGCCAACACCAAGGTAAAGGAAGAGATGGAGGTTGACACTGCTAGACGGTCAACACCAAGGTAAAGGAAGATGGAGGTTGACACTGCTAAACGGCCAACACCAAGGTAAAGGAAGAGATGGAGGTTGACACTGCTAGACGGTCAACACCAAGGTAAAGGAAGAGATGGAGGTTGACACTGCTAGACGGCCAACACCAAGGTAAAGGAAGAGATGGAGGTTGACACTGCTAACGCCAAGGTAAAGGAAGAGATGGAGGTTGACACGGTCAACACCAAGGTAAAGGAAGATGGAGGTTGACACTGCTAGACGGCCAACGCCAAGGTAAAGGAAGAGATGGAGGTTGACACTGCTAACGCCAAGGTAAAGGAAGAGATGGAGGTTGACACGGTCAACACCAAGGTAAAGGAAGAGATGGAGGTTGACACGGTCAACACCAAGGTAAAGGAAGATGGAGGTTGACACTGCTAAACGGCCAACACCAAGGTAAAGGAAGAGATGGAGGTTGACACTGCTAGACGGTCAACACCAAGGTAAAGGAAGAGATGGAGGTTGACACTGCTAGACGGCCAACACCAAGGTAAAGGAAGAGATGGAGGTTGACACTGCTAACGCCAAGGTAAAGGAAGAGATGGAGGTTGACACGGTCAACACCAAGGTAAAGGAAGATGGAGGTTGACACTGCTAGACGGCCAACGCCAAGGTAAAGGAAGAGATGGAGGTTGACACTGCTAACGCCAAGGTAAAGGAAGAGATGGAGGTTGACACGGTCAACACCAAGGTAAAGGAAGAGATGGAGGTTGACACGGTCAACACCAAGGTAAAGGAAGATGGAGGTTGACACTGCTAGACGGCCAACACCAAGGTAAAGGAAGATGGAGGTTGACACTGCTAAACGGCCAAAGCCAAGGTAAAGGAAGAGATGGAGGTTGACACTGCTAGACGGCCAACACCAAGGTAAAGGAAGAGATGGAGGTTGACACTGCTAGACGGTCAACACCAAGGTAAAGGAAGAGATGGAGGTTGACACTGCTAACGCCAAGGTAAAGGAAGAGATGGAGGTTGACACTGCTAGACGGTCAACACCAAGGTAAAGGAAGATGGAGGTTGACACTGCTAGACGGTCAACACCAAGGTAAAGGAAGATGGAGGTTGACACTGCTAGACGGCTAACACCAAGGTAAAGGAAGAGATGGAGGTTGACACTGCTAGACGGCTAACACCAAGGTAAAGGAAGAGATGGAGGTTGACACTGCTAGACGGCCAACACCAAGGTAAAGGAAGAGATGGAGGTTGACACTGCTAGACGGCCAACACCAAGGTAAAGGAAGATGGAGGTTGACACTGCTAGACGGCCAACACCAAGGTAAAGGAAGATGGAGGTTGACACTGCTAGACGGCCAACACCAAGGTAAAGGAAGAGATGGAGGTTGACACTGCTAGACGGCTAACACCAAGGTAAAGGAAGAGATGGAGGTTGACACTGCTAGACGGCCAACACCAAGGTAAAGGAAGATGGAGGTTGACACTGCTAGACGGCCAACACCAAGGTAAAGGAAGAGATGGAGGTTGACACTGCTAGACGGCCAACACCAAGGTAAAGGAAGATGGAGGTTGACACTGCTAGACGGTCAACACCAAGGTAAAGGAAGAGATGGAGGTTGACACTGCTAGACGGCCAACACCAAGGTAAAGGAAGAGATGGAGGTTGACACTGCTAGACGGTCAACACCAAGGTAAAGGAAGAGATGGAGGTTGACACTGCTAGACGGTCAACACCAAGGTAAAGGAAGAGATGGAGGTTGACACTGCTAGACGGTCAACACCAAGGTAAAGGAAGAGATGGAGGTTGACACTGCTAGACGGTCAACACCAAGGTAAAGGAAGAGATGGAGGTTGACACTGCTAGACGGTCAACACCAAGGTAAAGGAAGAGATGGAGGTTGACACTGCTAACGCCAAGGTAAAGGAAGATGGAGGTTGACACTGCTAAACGGCCAACGTGTCTTGTAAGGCTGCATTACTGTGGCTCGCTCTGCTCCGTCCAGCTCTCGATCTGCTCCGTCCAGCTCCTCTTGACTGGTGTTCTTGTTCACTAGATTCTTCAGGATCTCTAGACGCCTCTCTGCTCTCTCCTCAACAATCTCCTTCTCTTTGGCCAGACGTTCCCTGTAAGACAGACAAATCAAGTTAATACAGCTAGAACCTGTTCAGTGTTACGTATTAAAACCGTTCACCTTTAAAGCCCCCTTACTATGTAAAGCTTTGAGTACCCCAGTTGATAGAAAGGCACTAGATTCCACCCAATCCATTATAAATTATTAAAAGCAACCAAACAACAAGAAACAAACAAAAAAAAAGGCACAGAAGAGCTCACGTGTAGTCGGTCTGCATTTCAGAGAAGAGCTCAGAAAACTCCTTTATGACCTCTTCACGGATCCGGGATTCCAAAGCCAGGTTTTCAGACCGCTCTTTCTGGAGCTGTTCCCGGAGCGCCTTCAACTGGAGTAGCTGGTTCTGAAGGGTTTACATTTTAGTCATTTTAGCAGACGCTCTTATCCAGAGCGACTTACAGTTAGTGAGTGCATACATTATTTTTGTAATTTTTCATACTGGCCCCCCGTGGGAATCGAACCCACATCCCTGCCGGCCATTCCCTCCCCTACCCTGGACGACGCTTGGCCAATTGTGCACCGCCCCATGGGTCTCCCGGTCGCGGCCGGCTACGACAGAGCCTGGATTCGAACCAGGATCTCTAGTGGCACAGCTTGCACTGCGATGCGGCGCCTTAGACCACTGCGCCACTCGGGAGGTTGACAGATATTAACTTACTTCACATTAATCTCGAGTGGACAGACATAAAATCGAGAATCTGACCAAATTAGACAAGACTTTAGTTCTGGGTTAACTTCACATTAATAGGGTACCAGAGTTTTGACGACGTGACCTGATTAGGCAAAACTCTGGTCCCTTAACAAGACTATTAGTAGGCCTAAAATCTTCCCCAAATGTCAAAACAATCAAAATCAGGGCCTGGAAATGTAGGTGACTACTACAATATGCCATTTTAGCAGACGCTTTTATCCAAAGCGACTTACAGTCATGTGCGCATACATTTTTAACGTATGGGGTGGTCCCGGGGATCGAACCCACTACCCTGGCGTTACAAGCGCCGCGCTCTACCGACTGAGCTACAGAGGACCACTGTTGTACTAAACAGAGGTAAGTAGTGATGGGAGAACAAATCAATACGGTTACATATCGGGATATATTGTATCGTTTTGACAATGTCGCTATATTCTTTTTAGCGCTAGTTGGCTGTACCTGCAGTAAAACTGATGTTCTCCATCTTTTTTAAATTGAGGCAATTTGTTTTTAACACTTTTATCGATGGCTGATCAAAACTAGTTCTCATTACTCTTGTCCCTCTGCAGCAGACATATGGTGAGCAATAGGACTGGAAAAATCTAGAAAATCACAGTATCCAAACGCAATACATATCGTAATGGCACCTCAGTGTGGTGATAATATGGTATCATGAGGTCCCTCAGATAGTGATAATTGGGGAGGGTCCCTACAGTTAGTGATAATAGTTGGTGAGGTCCCTAAGTATAGTGTAAATATGGTGAGGTCCACTCAGTATATGATAATATGGTATGGTGAGGTGCCTCAGTGTGGTGATAATATGGTATCATGAGGTCCCTCAGTATGGTGATAATATGGTAGGTGAGGTCCCTAGGGTGGGATAATATGGTTGGTGAGGTCCTCAGTATGGTGATAATATGGTATGGTGAGCGTCCCTCAGTATAGTGATAATATGGTTGGTGAGTCCCTCAGTATGGTGATAATTATGGTATGGTGAGGTCCCTCCAGTATGGTAACTAATATGGTTGGTTGAGGGTCCCTCAGTGTGGTGATAATATGGGTATGGTGAGGTCCCTCAGTATTGGTATAATATGGTATGGTGAGGGTCCCTCAGTATGGTGATAATATGGTATGGTGAGGTCCCTCAGTATAGTGATAATATGGTGTATGGTGAGGTCCCTCAGTATGGTGATAATATGGTATGGTGAGGTCCCTCAGTATGGTGATAATATGGTATGGTGAGGTCCCTCAATATGGTGATAATATGGTATGGTGAGGTCCCTCAGTATGGTGATAATATGGTATGGTGAGGTCCCTCAGTATGGTGATAATATGGTGAGGTCCCTCAGTATGGTGATAATATGGTATGGTGAGGTCCCTCAGTATGGTGATAATATGGTATGGTGAGGTCCCTCAGTATGGTGATAATATGGTATGGTGAGGTCCCTCAGTATGGTGATAATATGGTATGTGAGGTCCCTCAGTATGGTGATAATATGGTATGGTGAGGTCCCTCAGTATGGTGATAATATGGTATGGTGAGGTCCCTCAGTATGGTGATAATATGGTATGGTGAGGTCCCTCAGTATGGTGATAATATGGTATGGTGAGGTCCCTCAGTATGGTGATAATATGGTATGGTGAGGTCCCTCAGTATGGTGATAATATGGTATGGTGAGGTCCCTCAGTATGGTGATAATATGGTATGGTGAGGTCCCTCAGTATGGTGATAATATGGTATGGTGAGGTCCCTCAGTATGGTGATAATATGGTATGGTGAGGTCCCTCAGTATGGTGATAATATGGTATGGTGAGGTCCCTCAGTATGGTGATAATATGGTATGGTGAGGTCCCTCAGTATGGTGATAATATGGTATGGTGAGGTCCCTCAGTATGGTGATAATATGGTATGGTGAGGTCCCTCAGTATGGTGATAATATGGTATGGTGAGGTCCCTCAGTATGGTGATAATATGGTGTGGTGAGGTCCCTCAGTATGGTGATAATATGGTGAGGTCCCTCAGTATGGTGATAATATGGTATGGTGAGGTCCCTCAGTGTGGTGATAATATGGTATGGTGAGGTCCCTCAGTATGGTGATAATATCGTGTCGTGAGGTCCCTGGCAACTCCCAGCCCTAGTAGTTAGGGGGAGAGACTTACCTCATAAGCATCTTTGTCGATGAGAAACTTGTCATCTTCCACTTCCTGCATGGTCTCCTCCATCACGCTGTCCTCCGTCGTGCTCTCCTCTCCTCCTCCCTGTCAACATCCTCATCTACGTCCTCCAGACTGGTCTCCCAGCCAACCAGGGAGCTCCTTCTCCGCTGACCCAACAGGTTCTTCCCGTCTGCGTTGTTGTTGATGATCATGGACAGTTCCCGGGCCGACCTCTTGGTGGCGAGGTGGGGGACGGTCTTGGTGGTCAGCACCACCACCTTCTGAGCCACTGCGGAGAACTTGAGCACGTTGAGCGTCTCGTCGTACAAGGAGGCACACTGGTTGACGTTGACTACCATGCAGGCTTTGCCCCGCCCACAGAAGAAGCCCTGTAGGTAGTGGGTAAGCTTGCTCTCCCTGAACGGGACGTGCTGCGGTAGCCTAGCAACAAGGGGCAGGTCAGAACATAATTGTATTTATTTATTACGTTTATTTGGACAGGGACAATGTACAACAAAAACATACTTCTCAGAGGACTGAGAAATGTGTTGCACCAGATTCAGCTAAAAGATAAATTTACAACAACAAACATTTTGTAGAAGTATAATGGTGGCAGGTAGCCTAGTGGTTAACAGCGTTAGGTCAGTAACCGAAAGGTCGCTGGTTCGAATCCCCGAGCTGACTAGTTGAAAAAAAAAAATCTGTTAATGTGCCCTTGAGCAAAGGGACTTCACCCTAATGGCTCCTGTAAGTCGCTCTGGATCAGAGTGTCTGCTAAACGACTAAAATGTATAATTCCAAAACATTAGGAACACCTGCTCTTTCCATGACAGACGGACCAGGTGAAAGCTATGATCCCTTATTCATGTAACATGGATTGCCATTCAGAGGGTGAATGGGCAAGACAAAATATTTAAGTGCCTTTGAACGAGGTATGGTAATAGGTGCCAGGCGCACCGGTTTGAGTGTGTCAAGAACTGCAACGCTGCTGGGTTTTTCACGCTCAACAGTTTCCCGTGTGTATCAAGACTGGTCCACCACCCAAAGGACATCCAGCCAACTTGACAACTGTGGGAAGCGTTGGAGTCAACATGGGCCAGCATCCCTGTGGAACGCTTTCGACACCTTGTAGAGTCCATGCCCCCGACGAATTGAGGCTGTTCTGAGGGCAAAAGGGGTTCAACTCAATATTAGGACGGTGTTCCTAATGGTTTTGTACACTCAGTGTATGTATGTATTACATATTTCAAAAAGCAGACAAGGCTCACTTGGATTGCTGGCTTTGCCGTAACGCGTTGATGCACTTGCCCAGCGTCATCAGGGAAGTGTTGATGTTCCCGGCCTCTTTCAAACGCTCCCCTTTATTCTGAGTTTTAGCGCACCGCTCTGAACCAGCCAGGTCACACAAGGTCAGCCTAAACAGAAAGAAAAACAGCTCTCCTTACAGACACCCACAAGTACCGCATGGTGTCTCATAGAATATATTTTGTGCGCAAATGAATAAAATATGCATTTCACTTACTCGCTGATAGAGTTAACACGAGGAATCCTAGCATCTTCAATCCGCAGGATACGAACAGAAAATATGCTGTGGCTGAGCATAGGAACGGAGGAGAGAGAGATATATATATATATATATATAAGAGCACTGCGGTCAATCTACTGTGCTGTGTGAACTTGGCTCATGCAAGTTAGTAACGGCCAAATAAATAATTCAAAAAAGGAAATGACGCGCTTAATAATCATACCTCCTGCTCGAGAGGAGGTTGAGCTTTGTGCTGGCGAAGCTCTGGTTTTTCTTGCCGAGCATCATCACCTTGTAGGCCTCTTCCGCATTGTTCACTTGTACCCACTTGAGATCTGAAAAAAATTACACACTGGAACATTTGGTCCCCTGCGGCTCAGTGCATTTCGTTAAGACGGCAAACACCTCAAATGAATCCGTCACCTTTTACAAAAGAGTTGCCTTTGACATCCTGCGACAGCCGCAGGGTGGTTCTCTTCAGGGCTCCGTTCGGTATGGGCTCCAGCAGGTCGTGAATGTTCTCGTTGTAGATTTCACAGAAGGACACCCAGACCGAGAACTTGGTGTGTGCGTCAACAACCAGACTGAAACTGTCTTCAGTCACAGTCCCCTCAACGTCACTTAGTGCGGACCCTGTCAGAGAAACAAGTGGCGCCGTTAGCCCGTTACAAACCTCTGGTCGGATAGAAGTCTACTGTGATGACAAAACGACGCACCAAACTACTTGAGAGAGTAACATGACAAATCACGTATAAGTGCAAAACAGACATTTGCATGGGGTGGCGTGAGACAACATAAAAATGATGAATCTCCTTGCCTTCCAGGGTTGTCTTGCTGGTGGAGCTTGTCTGGCTGATGGAGCTTGTCTGGTTATCACCCTATAGGGAGAGCGCAATAAGAGGCATCCTTTAATATATAAAACGATTAGACCCAAACGAACAACTTGTTGAGTAATGCAACGGCTTTTATCAGGTCAATGAAGCAACCCAGTACCTCCTTGAGGAGCCTGAAGAGATTTCTCTTGCTAGTGGCTTCTTGACTCTGCTGGTCTTTAGTGAGCCTGGTGAACTCTCTGCATCGCTGTGGCTTGATAGTCATCTGGTTATAGACACGCCCCTCGACGTTGTTGAAGATGACGTTCAAAGACCTGGGAAGGATCCCTGCGTTGGCCTCTGGACCTAAAAACAACAGGTGTTGAGGATCTGTTAAAATGTGTGAATCACTTTGTCTTCGTGCGTGTTTGTGGGAGTTGACCATATCGAGCAGGGGTTGAAAGGGTGTTGTTCATGGTCAACATAGGATTTGACTTTAAAAATGGCTGGAGTTTCACAGTGGTATTCAAACAGTGAATCTGTGCACCAGCTAACTCAGACCGGCCCTTGTGTCCAAGTAGGAGGTTATGACAAAACAGTATGTGTCTTTCCAACGCTACATGATAAGAATATAAACAACGAAACAAACCTAGAAATGTGAACGTCTTCCCCGCATTTGTGACTCCATATGTGAAAACCAGAGAATTTCCACCTTCCAAAACCTCCTTGACCAGACTTCTCACTGTGCCGTCAAACATCTCCCTCTGAGAGGTTTCTGGCCCAAAGACCTGAGGATAAAAAGAAAATAACAGTGTGGTTATTTATTTTCTCGTGTGTTTTTGTTCTACCTTGTTAAAATTAGTTTTACAGGGACAGTGTACATAAAAAAATCGGCAATACTGTAAATATGCTAGTTTTAGCAGGCTGGCAAATGTTCAGCTACAGTCCCTGATTGGCACTGACGGGCCCTGCTGACGGACCTGTGAGAACTGGAAACGTTGAGCTGTCTGAGGGGCTGATTTGTCACTGAGCCTCGCTGAGAGGGAAGTCCTTGGAGCCCTGAGGAGGACCGTGTCTGGGGGCTCGATGGAAACGCAGTCCTTGAATGTGAACAGGGAAAAGACAGCGAGTCACAGTCAATGGGAAATTTAAACTTTGGTCAACAGTTATGTATCCAATGCTCTTGTTACCTGAAGTGTGTGCATGGTGGTGAGGTAATGGGTATCTAAACGCTTCTTGTGAAAAACTGGATTTCAAGCCAGAGCCGTGTGTCGAGTTAAAATACCTGTGATTCGCCATTTTCACTCTCAGCTGATGTGAATGGTCGAATGCGGAGGTACACCTGCAAGTGCTCACTCTCTTCTACGTATGACTCCTGTGAGTGAAACTCCGAGGAAAGGTCTTTCCTCAGGTCGTCGACGTTCATTTCCCTCTCCACGCTTTCCAATTTGTTGTGAAAACATGATTCCATCATCCTGTGTCAAATAATGTGGTGGGAGAAAGAGACGAGTGTTCAGCAAGGCACTGGCTACAGTTAGCTAGCAACGCACCTTCCACATTCGCAACTAGCTAACAAACAAAGCACCTTCGACATTCAACGTAAGCAGATCACAGCACTAAGCAAGCGGAGTAGAATATGTTGTTGGCTTTTCTAACGAAACAAACACATTGGTAACTGCACTTACAGCTAGCTAGTTAGCTAAACCAATATTCCGACGACGGCAACACAGCTAACTTAACTAGGTAACGTTCGTCTTTTCGTAACATAATGAAGAGACATGCATACCACTAACTTACCCTATCGAATCATTGAAAAATAGCTTTTTTTAAAATTAATATGAGGTTGTTGTTTTTTTCTACTTACCTGACAGAAATGATTCCCCCAAAATGTATCGCAACGAAATTCCTTCTTCAGTTGTCATCCAGAACTGTCGCGGTCTCATTTTTAAATTCGACCAATCGGGAGAGAGTGATTTTTACCGGAAGTGCTCATAGAAGACGCGGTCAGATATTCATTCTGTTTCAAACAAACCTTTACAACTACTGTTTGTGTGATGATAACTATGTATTTGTGATTATTATATTATCCATACGCCCACATTCCTATGATTGACTTTAATCTCTGCCTCAACACGATCTTTATTTGTATATATATTTTTTAAAGCCAATCTTTGAGATCTTGGCAAGGGAAGGAGAAGAGAAAAGATAGCAAGTGAAGAAGGAAAGGAAACTAGGATAGGAGGAAAGGAAAATGAGTTAGGAAAGGATATGAGGGAGGAAAGGAAGTAAAGGGATAAAAGAAAGGAAGCTAAAAATGATGACAGGAAAAGGAGCTAGGAAAGCTAGGGAGGGGAGGAAATTAAGGAAAGGGAGCTAGGAGCTAGGAAAGGATAGTAGGAAGGGAAAGGAAAAAGCTAGGATTATGCAAAGAGAGAGATGACATGTATGTGGTAGTGATTCACCAAAGTTAGTGCTATCTGGGATCCTTGGGACGTCCCTAACCTAAACCCTAACTAACCCCTAAACCAGCGGTCTCCAACCCTGGTCTTAGAAACCTTAGATGCCGGTCTTTAGATGTTGTACACACAATTGTCTCATTCAAAACTTTATTCGCAACGTTACATTCGCTTTTGCGCGACTCGAGCTGTTTCCCCTATACAGCTGTTCCATTCTCCGTGTAGCCTGCTGCTACAGGTAACTGGCAAAATAAAGGAAACGCCAACATAGTGTCTTAATTGGGCGTTGGACCACCACGTGCTGCCAGAAAAGCTTCAATGCGCCTTGGCATAGATTCTACAAGCGTCTGCAACTTCCTGTGTAGAAGCACACTATGCTTTCAATATTGTATCCCTCATCATTTACTCAAGTGGCAGTTACCTGCCTGCTCGTCGTCCTCACCAGGGTCATGATCTGACTGCAGTTCGGCATCGTAACCAACTTCAGTGGGCAAAACGCTCACCTTCGATGGCCACTGGCACGCTGGAGAAGTGTGCTCTTCACGGATGAATCCCGGTTTCAACTGTACCGGGCAGATGGCAGACCTGTGTATATGGCGTCGTGTGGGGTAGCGGTTTGCTGATGTCAACGTTGTGAACAGAGTGCCCCATGGTGGCGGTGGGGTTATGGTATGGGCAGGCATAAGCTACCAACAACAAACACAATTGCATTTTATCGTTGGAAATTTGAATACACAGAGATACCGTGACGTGATCCTGAGGTCTATTGTGGTGCCATTCATCCGCCACAATCACCTCATGTTTCAGAATGATAATGCATGGCCCCCTGTCACAAGGATCTGTACACAATTCCTGGAAGCTGAAAATGTCCCAGTTCTTCCATGGCCTGCATACTCACCAGACATGTCACCCATTGAGCATGTTTGGAATGCTCTGGATCGACGTATACTACAGCATGTTCCAGTTCCCGCCAATATCCAGCAACTTGGCACAGCCATTGAAGAGGAGTGGGACAACATTCCACAGGCCACAGTCAACAGCCTGATCAACTCTATGTGAAGGAGATGTCGCGCTGCATGATGGTGGTCGCACCAGATACTGACTGGTTTTATGATCCACGCCCCTACCCCTTCTTTTATTTTGTTATCTCAATCAAATCAAACCGTGGACAGATGGCAGCATTCGAGCAAAACTGAAAGCACGAACCACCGCATTTAACCATGGCAAGGTGACTGGGAATATGGTCGAATATTTTAAGGCAATCGCAGGCAAAACGTCAGTACAGCGACAAAAGTGGAGTCACAATTCAATGGCTCAGACACGCGACGTATGTGGCAGGGTCTACAGACAATCACGGATTACAAAGGGAAAACCAGCCACGTCGCGGACACCGACGTCTTGCTCCCAGACAAGCTAAACACCTTCGCCCGCTTTGAGGATAACACCGTGCCATCGACGCGGCCCGCTCCCAAGGACTGTGGGCTCTCGCTCTCCGTGGCCGACGTGAGGAATACGTTTAAGTGTGTTAACCCACGCAAGGATGCCGGCCCAGACGACATCCCTAGCCGCGTCCTCAGAGCATGTGCAGACCAGCTGGCTGGAGTGTTTACGGACATATTCAATCTCTCCCTATCGCAGTCTGCTGTCCCACCTTGCTTCAAGATGTCCACCATTGTTCCTGTACCCAAGAAAGCAAAGGTAACTGAACTAAATGACTATCGCCCCGTAGCACTCACCTCTGTCATCATGAAGTGCTTTGAGAGGCTAATTAAGGATCATATACCCTCTACCTTACCTGTCACCCTAGACCATTTCAATTTGCTTACCGCCCCAATAGTTCCACAGACGATGCAATAGCCATTGCACTGCACACTGCCCTATCCCATCTGGACAAGAGGAATACCTACGTCAGAATGCTGTTCATTGACTATATCTCAGCCTTCAACACCATAGTACCCTCCAAGCTCATCATTAAGCTCGGGGCCCTGGGTCTGAACCCTGCCCTGTGCAACTGGGTCCTGGACTTCCTGACGGACCGCCCCCAGGTGGTGAAGATAGGAAACAACACCTCCACTTCGCTGATCCTCAACACAGGGGCCCCACAAGGGTGCATGCTCAGCCCCCTGCTGTACTCCCTGTTCACCCATGACTGCGTGGCCAGGAGGCTGAAGAAATCCGGCTTGGCACCTAAAACCCTCACAAACTTTTACAGATGCACCATTGAGAGCATCCTGTCGGGCTGTATCAGTGCCTGGTACGGCAATTGCACCGCCCGCAACCGCAGGGCTCTCCAGAGGGTGGTGCGGTCTGCCCAACGCATCACCGGGGGCACACTATCTGCCCTCCAGGACACCTACAGCACCTGATGTCACAGGAAGGCCAAAAACATAATCAAGGACATCAACCACCTGAACCACGGGCCTGTTCACCCCGCTGTCATCTAGAAGGCGAGGTCAGTACAGGTGCATCAAAGCTGGGACAGAGAGACTGGAAAAACAGCTTCTATCTCAAGGCCATCAGACTGTTAAATAGCCATCACTAGCCGGCTACCACCCGGTTACTCAACCCTGCACCTTAGAGGCTGCTGCCCTATATACATAGACATGGAATCACTGGTCACTTTAATAATGGAACACTAGTCACTTTAATAATGTTTACATACTGCACTACTCATTTCATATGTATATACTGTATTCTAATCTACTGTATTTTAGTCTATGCCACTCCAACATTGCTCGTCCTAATATTTATATATTTCTTAATTCCATTCTTTTACTTTTAGATGTGTGTGTATTGTTGTGAATTGTTAGATACTACTGCACTGTTGGAGCTAGGAACACAAGTATTTCGCTACACCTGCAATAACATCTGCTAAATATGTCTGTGACCAATAAAATTTGATTTGATTTCAACGTGCTTATACAGAAACCCAGCCTAAAAACCCCAAACAGCAAGCAATGCAGATGTAGAAGCACAGTGGCTAGGAAAAACTCCCTATAAAGGAAGGAACTTAGGAAGAAACCTGGAGAGGAACCAGGCTCTGAGGTGTGGCCAGTTCTTCTGGCTGTGCTGGATGAAGATCATAAAAGTACATGGCCATTAAGGCCAGATCGTTCTTGAAGATGTTCAAACGTTCATAGATGACAAGCAGGGTCAAATAATAATCAGTGGTTGTGGAGGGTGCAACAGGTCAGCACCTCAGGAGTAAATGTCAATTGGCTTTTCATAGCCGAGCATTGAGGTCGGGAGAGAGGTCGGGAGAGAGGTCGGGAGAGAGGTCGGAAGAGAGGTCGGGAGAGAGGTCGGAAGAGCGAGCTCGAGAGAGACGAAAACAGCAGGTCCGGGACAAGGTAGCACAGTTGAAACTGGAGCAGCAAGTTTGTGACCAATAGATGCATATCTGTATTCCCAGTAATGTGAAATCCATAGATTAGGGCCTAATTAATTTATTTTAAGTGACTGACTTCCTTGAAATGAACTAACTCAGTAAAATCTTTGAAAATTGTTGCATGGTGTGTTTTTTATATATTTTTTGTTCAGTCTATATCACATTGCACATGGTGTCCCCTACATGCTGTTTAGGAGTTTGACTGACGGGAATGAAGGAGCGCGTGTATCAGGAACCCTGCTGCGTCTGCCTGACGGGGGAAGCTGAAACTCTGGGTGGAGTCTGACACTATTTTCTTGGCCTCTCAAAAAAAAAAAAATTCAAAGATAGTCTGCAGTGACGGGTGCTACTTCAATAGTAGTGAGGCTTTAATGGGTGCAGGTTAAGTCGGTAGTGACATTTTTTCACGAAGCGTAAATACACAGTGGGGGAGAACAAGTATTTGATACACTGCCGATTTTGCAGGTTTTCCTACTTACAAAGCATGTAGAGGTCTGTAATTTTTATCATAGGTACACTTCAACTGTGAGAGACGGAATCTAAAACAAAAATCCAGAAAATCACATTGTATGATTTTTAAGTAATTAATTAGCATTTTATTGCATGACATAAGTATTTGATCACCTACCA